TTTTTTTATTGGGGAATTGGGGGAAGGGGAACAGACAAGTTGCTGTCTTTTTCTCTTCAGTCTAGTTGTGGAGGACGTTGCTTCACTAGCCCAAGTTGGCACCATCATTACGCTCTTCCCGGGCAAGGCAGATCAGTTGCCGGCTTCTGGATGGCCGCTCACAGCGGCTTGAGGGCCGCTTACTCTGGCTGCTGGCTACACACGGTAGCCCATGGCAACTCACGCCGTAGCTGGCGACTCATGGCAACCCAGCTCCAGGTTGAGCTGTTGTTCATCATCTTAGCTGTAGAGGGCAGCGTCACTGGCCCTCATATGTGGGATCCGAACCGGGGCCCTCTGGCGTCCCAAGCCAGTTCTTAATCAACGCGCCACTTGGCGGGCCCCATAAATTCCTGTTTTTATAAGCCACTCAGTCTGTGGCATTTTGTTATGTCAGCCTGAGCAGATAATACAGCTCCTAAATGACAACCAACCTCTTTATCTGGAATTCTACCAAAAGAACAGTGATTCATTCTATGGCTGGAGGAGAAACACTCCGTTTGGGACTCATCGAAAAGTGACAATAATAGCTAATGTGCACATGCCAAGCACTGTTGTAAGCACTTCATATGTATTCATTAATTTAAATCTCACAACAACACAGCACGGTAGGTGCTATGATTATTCCCATTTTACCCAAGGACACACAGCTAGTGAGTGGCAGGCCTGGAACATGAACCAAGGTAGCTTCGCTCCAAAAGCAGCTGCTCAGTGAATGGTAGAATTAAATTAAAAAGTCAAAAATGGCAAGAGCAACTTGGGTAGGTGGGAGGTGGGTGGGGGATTTGGTTGGTCCAGGAAGGGAGAGAGTTCGGTGTAAATAACAGGGAGTGGTGTATTTTTTGTATTCTCATTTCTAGATCTTTCTGGGATATTCTATCCTGAAACAGGTCAGTTCTGGCATTTAGTCTTCAAATGAGGATAAACTGACTTAAGAGCACACAGTGGGAAAACTAGATTTGTTGTTTTTCTGTAATGCTTCTTTTTTACTGTATTATTTCCTGACTCCAGGAGAACGGGTCTGTCTGAATAAAGAAATTAGAGGTAGAAAGAAGTTAGAAGCACTGGCATGTCTACCCCTGATGGCAGAGAGGGCTAGGAGGCAATGGTAAGCTGGCTGGAGGTGGTACCTGGTGATTGTCTGCACAAAGTCACCTGGGCAGGCATATTCCATACCTCATCTACGGCCAACAATTTGTCATCTTCAGCACCATTGGTGCCTGGAATGTCTTCAGCTTTTATCACATCAACCACTCCGTGTAGTTCAAGGGCCTCAGACAAATCAATTGATCTGAAAAAAGAGAAATATTGAAGTAGAAATCAACAAATTTTGAGGGCCCCAAATCTGAGGAAGTGATAGAGTACGGTTGAAAATCAAAATATATAACTGGTTAGGCCCTGACCAATCAGGGCTGACTTGCCATAGGTAGGGTCCAGGAGGCCCACTGCTGGGCCAGGGGTTAACACTTAGCTGCTGAGAGGGGAGCTAGAGGAGGGACCAGTGCGGCTCTGGCAAGGGATGTCCTTAGGGAGCTTAGGACAATGGCCATTTACCATTCAGTAATGAAGTATTTCAGTATGTTCGGTATCACCAGCTGAATATCAACCCTACTTGGAGTTACTCCTTTGAGCCCTGCCTGAGGCTACAGCAGGGAGATGAGGAGCTGTGAGGTTAGAATGGAACCACAGGGCCTATAACTAGGATTTTTGTTCTCTCTTTAATGATGGTCATTTCCAGATACTCTCCCTTCCTGCTCCCTGGGCTGGTGACTTTTTCTTTATTCTTTTCACTTTAGGTTCTTTGGGTTCAGGACATTGCAGGAGAATGGGCACATTCCTCCATGGGAATCCCCAGATGTGCTTTTTAGAAGGCTTTTTGAAAGCTTTTCTTTTACTTACATGATTTTTGCATGGGCTCTGGTACTGGTCACCAATGCCATGAAAAGTTCTTTATCCACCCTGGGGATATCATCACAAAATATGGCTTCACCTGTGGCATGTTTAAGACCCGATAAGTGCATGATGGGACGTCCAACTGGATCTTGGAGGGGTTGGCGAGAATCCACACTCTGTAGAGGAAGACAAGAGTTGACCTGGAAAACCTTAATCTTCACAAGTGGCCTGGCTAATTACCAACACTCCTGATTCAGGATTGAGAAATGAAACAGTCACCCTCGGGCAACAAATACTGGAGTGGGTCAGATGATGAGTGTTGCAACTTAATGATGTAACCAGGCTGGGAAATAATCATTTGAGTTATGTGGCAATACCTTAGACAGGGCCAAGCTTTTGGCAAAATTGTGAAGTGGGTGAAGGGATACCCTGGCTTCTCCTTTTGGCATCTTCCTTTCCTAAGTGGTGCTCCTTTCTTCTGGAATTCAGAGGGTCTCCCTGTCCTGCTTTCTTACCTTTCCAGTAATCAACCTGTTTACGTGTAAAGTGATCATGATGATGAGGGCTAAAGCGATATAATTCCCAAGGGTGTGGAACCAAAATCTATGCTTGAAGCCTGCTTATTACTTTAGTAGGCTCTCGGGTGGGGGAGGAGGTAGCAAATGGCAATGGAGTCCGTTCAGATTCAGACTAAGGTGTCTTGATTGCCCCTCTAAGGGCATAAAACATCGCTGGGAGTAAAAGGAAATGGAGAAAACGTTTACTCTGGAACTCTTCTCGAGGAAGATCTGTGTGTGGTGTGTGTGTGTGGAGGTGGAGTGGGAGGAGCAGATAAGAATAGATACTTTCTAAGTTGTCTTTCAGGAAGGATGAGTTCAGTTGTTTGCAGGGCTCTTGTTTTGTTGACTGAAGGTTGAACATTTGCCATCAAGGCTGGAGGCTGAAACTTGCTACTCTCCCGCTCTATCCTCCCCCACAGTGGGTTCAGCTGCTCTTCAAACAAATGCCCAAAGAACACCAGTTTGATAGTTCGAAGAGGCTATCCACTATTCGTCTGTCAAACCACACTAGGTTGGTTTAGGTTTGAGTATATCTAGCGGTAGCTCAGGCCTGGTCTTAGAGCCAGCAACTTCCTGATGTGGCCGAAACAAAGGGACAACGTGCTAGCAAAAACTGCAAAGTCAGAACTAAAAATCTCAGCTCTGAAGTGCTTTCTTGTTCGCACAGCTATCGCTTATCTCTTAGTTTCTAAGTTTCCGTTAAATTAAACTTACTGACCTGGTACCTTTGGACTCCCTGGAGTACTGTGACCGGGAAATCTTCTAGCGCACTTAGGAATCGGTCTGAAATTTCAGGATAATGAAGGCAGTCCTGAGAGATGATTCAAAACAATAAAGAGTCTGTGGTTAAGCTGGGCTTTGATTTATGTGAAAACGGCTTGGCTCAAGTATCCATGAGACTGCAAGGCCAGGGTAGCCTGGATAACCAAAGTCCACTTCACCTCCCAGGATTTCATTTTTTTTTAATGAAAGTTTCTTGCCTCCCTTCCCTTTCCACATAATGAGGAGGAAGTGGACTGACTGGTTTGAACCTTGAGAAGGGAGAGGCCTATTAGTGAGCTGGCAGGCAGACAGGTGAAGAAGCAAGAAAACTTGGGGCTGGATAAGCCATCCCAGAATGAGCTGGAGTTCATTGTACACAGAAAAGCCCAAATCCTGATGATTATTTTATTCACCCAGCTTTTCTGGGAGAGCAGTAAAATTGGGAAAGCTCTCTATGTGTCACTGAAATGCATCAAGTATCTTGATTCAGGAATTAAATGGCAGCAAGGATTATCCTGGTGGATGTGGTTGGTGAGGGTCTTCATCTGAGTAAACGAAAATCAGACACTTTAGGAGTTGGACTGTTGGGGTGGGGTGTGGGAAGCAAGGGGTACAAGTCAGGCCAGGAAAAGAGAGAGAGAGAGAGAGAGTGAGAGAGAGAGAGAGAGAGAGAGAGAGAGAATTTGCGCTACTCAATTTACTCGAGTTTATATTCAGAAAATCTAGAAAGAAGCTACTTATATATTAGCATACAAATACATTTTTGTATTTTTGAAAAATAAAATTTTATTTTACATTCCATATTGAAATTAAAATTTGGCTGCCTGGGGGCAGGGGTGAGAGGATTGACTGCAAGGGGTCAAGAGGGTACTTTTTGGAGTGATGGACATGCTCTGTATTTTGTTTGAGGTGGTGGCTACATGGATTTACACATTTCTCAAAACTCTCTGAATTTAAGTTAGGTCCATTTTATTATATGTAAATATACTTCAATAAAATTGATTTTAAAAGAAAAAAATTGCTCACCCGTGGCCAGGGCATGCAGTAAACATCTGTGAACTGAAGGCAGTCTGGCATCCTAAGCCTCATGAATCCCGGAAGGAGGAATGGCTGGGGACTGACAAGGCCTGGCCCAGAGCAAGTGACAGGTAATGGCGCAGGCCGCTTACACAGACAGTTTGCAAAAGTAGTGGGTGGATGGGAGAAGAGAAGTGGATGGAGATAGTCTCAGAGACACAGAGGAAGAACTGAGGGTTGCTAGTCGGGAGGGGGTGGGGATGAAGGAGAAGGGGAAGGGATGAG